GGCCTCCTGCAGACTCTTGTTCACCACTGACCTAGCTCTTGCATCTTCCACCTAACTACTGGCATTTCTTGACACTTGGCCACTAGACTTCTGTCAAGGCCGCCAGGTACTAGATAGGGCTGGAGACAGCACAAATTCCACCTGAAACCTCCCAGTCAGGGGCTGTTCTTGGGGGCTGTGATGCTCGCTCCGTGGCCATCACAGTGTGCATCCTGACTCCTCCAGATACATTTAATAAAATAAATGTAGTTCAGTGTCAGCTGAGATCACAGAATGGGATGGGGGCTTACCTTTGGCAGGGAATCACCTCCCTACAATTCTCCACCCACTCACAGCTCACCCCCCACAGCTGTCCCCTGACCCTGCAGCTTCAGGTGTGGGACTCAGCGCGGTCACTACTTTGTCTCCTGAAAAGCACTCACATGACTCATCGGTGAGTGTGACAGATATTCCTAAGGTTGGGGACAATAGTGGGGTTTCAGGTTGCCGTGTGCCTGGGCCCCTCTCATTCTTCCTCTGTCCGTCCTCGTCCTCTGCCTCTCCTTCCCGCCCACTCCCCTCATTACATGAAGGTCAGCTCAGTGACGTGGCTGCGATGTCAGACCATCTGCCCCAGGTCTCCCCCAGCAGCACAAAACACCTGGCCGAGGCTCTGAAACACTGCCCTTCTCTGTCCCCCTTCCCACCCAGCTCCTCTGGATAGAAGGGAACAAGGTGGAGGTACAGATTTCCCCCCTTTACAACTACATTTTTGCAACAATGAGTCCCTTGGGCGGTGTAGCAAAGCCCTGGATTCCATCTCAGAACAATGTTTTTAACCCATAAAACAAAATATGTTTAAAAACAAATTATAGCCCCAAATTGGAAATAACCCAAATGTCCTTCAGTGAGCAAATGATTGAACAAGTTGAGTACGTGTCCATGGAACGTTACTCAAGAACAAAAGGAACAAACCGTTATCTACACAAGAATTTGGAAAGCTCTCCAGGGAAGTATACAGAATGAAAAACAGCCAATCTCAAAAGGTTACATACTTTTGAAAGTATGTAGACCTCAAAAGGTCACAGATTCCATGTTTTGACATTCTTAAAACTACAAAATTATAGATATGGAGAACAGAATAGTAAATGGCAGGGCTGAGGGAGGGGACGGGGAGTGTCTGGCTATAAAAGGGTGATTGCATGAGGGATCCTTGCGGTGATGGAACTGTCCTGGTGATCACACAAATCTACACGTGTGACAAAATCATATCAAACTAAATACACATGCACATATGTACACCAATGAGTGCACAGCCAACCTGCAGATGCCCCATGGATTGTGCCTATGTGAGTTTCCTGATGTGGTGATGTGCTATAGTTTCACAAGATGATGCCATTGGGGGAAACCGGGGGAAGTTACATAAGGAATCTTAAGGGAATTTTAAAATAAAAAGTTTAAAATGTATTCTGAAATAGTTATTTTTAAACACCTTTATGTTATAGTAATACATGCATTCCATTATTAACACATGTAGAAGATCTAGTGACAGATCTTACAGCTACCCTGAAATAATGAGTGTGAGTGATATTTCAAGATACCTGCGACAGGTCCTGCGAATATTGCTGTCTTTTGTTGCCTACATCCATAATCGAAGGAGATGCCAATTTTGCCAATGAAAATAAAAATGTAAACTTTCTTCCTATCCACACTCAGAGTTCCCTGAACTATATATATCATTGATCCCCAAGTTAAGAACCCTTGCCTTCTTTAAAATGGCAACTTTTGCCCAGCTGGTGTGGCTCAGTACTTGAGCACTGACCTATGAAACAGGAGGTCACAGTTTGATTCCAGTCAGTGCACATGCTGGGATTGTAGGCTCAATCCCTAGTAGGGAGCATGCAGGAGGCAGCCGATCAATGATTCTCTCTCAATCTCTCCCTCTCCTTTCCTCTCTGAAATCAATAAAAAAATATATTTCTAAAAAAAAAGTATACATATATACACACACACACACACACACACACTTAAAAAAATTAAATGGCAACTTCCCTTCCTCTGTTACACAAGCTATGATGAACACAAAAGGCAAAAAGTAGAGGGAACATCTGTGTAAGAGACAGTGGTCACATCGCACTGGTAATGGACCAGGGGAAGGGGGTGGGGAGTGGGGTGCGGGGAGGCATTTTTTTGAAATGTTAATTGATGTTTCCCTGTATTGACCATCCCTCCACTCAAACAGCCTGACCTCAGGAATGCTTCTCAAATGCTATTTTGTTCTGAGTATAGGAGCTCGGTGCACTGGATTTGTAAGCATGACTTTTTCTGCCTGGGAAAGCTCTGTCTAGTAAGTTAAAGCAGTTGACGTATGTAAAGGTAAATGTTTGAGATGAAGCAGTCCTGCGTGTAAATATTTACGAGTACCCTCCCTGTCCCATCCCTAGACCCCGTCATTTCCCAGTGTAGGAACAATAACAAAATGGGGTTCCTGTATAGAAAAGGCTGCCTGAACACTAGCAGATTGCTATCTTGTCCTATCTATTCAACTTCCACTAAAACGGGCAACCCACAGTTTCCAGATCCCTCCTTCCTTCCCCTGCTCACCAGATCCGGCATCTTAGTGCACAATTGGAGGAAGGAGCGTGATAGAATAAAACGTGCGAGGTATGCCCCTGGGTTTTCCTATTTATTAGCTTTTCGTTGTGTGCACCGCCTTTCTTCTGCCACTGGTGGTGGTGGGGGGGGGGGGGCAGAGAGAGGGAGGACACTGGGAGCCATCCACTGGGTCTGAGTTGTTAAGCTTTTCCTCTGGGTAGTATACAGCGACCCCTACTGGAAGGCAGATGCCATCACAGAAGAACTCCCAAAAATGCATTCTTCCCCAGGAAAAGATAGGCTCACATCTAAACTCAGACTAATGTTCTCATTTCATGGGAAAACCTTTTTCAACATGTGTATAAGTTACAAACCACACATTCTTCCAACCTCCAAAGCTCTGATGAGCTAGAAGCAACACTATGGCACTAAGCAAATCAAATAAAACTGCAACAAGCAAGTTTTACACGGCCTAAAACCTTTCCAAAGATCAAGATGAACACTAATGCTGCAATCCCACAACCCACCAGATGTGGGAACTCAAGCCACATCAACATCATTCCAGCTGGTACTCCACTAGTGTCACTTCAACCATGAGCTTTCTTACTTGTCTGTTACTATCTCATTGTCAAGTACTCACGTCCTGGATTCCTTTGCAGCCCGGGCCATCCTAGACGACATACAACACACAGGTTCCAGCAGGATACAGGGTCTATGACAAGCCATTTCCACCAAGAACCCAGATGGAAAGAGCCCTGTGATGTTCTCTTGAGCATCTCCATGACCCTGTGGGGCTCTAGACCATCCCTGGAAGATACAAGGTGACAAGCCACAATTACATAAATGCCAATAGCAAACAAGGTAAGTCAGGAGACAATCCATAGAGACCACCAAGGCCCTTGACCTCCGGTGATAACGTACTTTTGGAATGTCAGAGTAATCTCCTTTTCCAGACGCCTCAGGGCACAACCTCCCACCAAAGCACCAACCCCTCAATGTTATCCTGGTGCCCACATACCAGGGAGATGGGCCAGGTACATCCTGGAGCCCTCCTGTGGTCCCTCCCTGGCCCCGGTCGTGCACTGGTGGGGTCCCTCAGCCTGGCCTGCGCCCTCTCACAATTTGTGACCCCTCAGGGGATGTCGGAGAGCCAGTTTCGGTCAGATCCTGCAGGCCACTCCCCTTGGGAGGGCACCAAACACTGGGCTCACAAGTGCTGCTGTGGCGGTGTGAGCCTCTCCCGATCGGGACTGATTGGGCGCGAGCCTGTGGAAGGCAGTGGGGCCGGGATGAGCGGGAGTGGCAGGTAGGAGCTGCAGGTGGCGTTGGACTGTGGGTTTCGGCCCAATCCCCACAGGCCACCCTGAGGGATCCCACCCGTGCATGAATGTATGCACCAGGCCTCTAGTATCAATAAAGCTACAGCTAAAGAATACCCTCTGACAGAGGGAAAGTACTCAAAGGAGGAAATAGCTTGGGGTGGGAGGGAGCCCCTCCCTAAAGCTGGGACACAGGTCTCTTTGGGTGTGACTGCCACCACTGGATGACAGGGAAGTTCACTGGGTCATCTGGGCCAGAGCTGGTACACAGTCAGAAGCTGAGGCTGGCAGGCAGAATACTATGGACCTTGCCTGGCAAGCAAGAGTCCCCTACAACTGGGGTTCTTAGTAGGAAGAGGCCATGGTTGGACACCACCTGCTCACATGGATGAATTGTGCCCTCTAGCACCCCCTACTGACAACAATTGAGCCTGCTGGCAATGAAGAAATGTTCTAATGTCACAAGAAAAGTAATGAAGGGTGGATTTGGAATAAGGAGGCGTTAAGTGACAACTGGCACCTCCCCCTCTAAAGGTTGAAGGCTTGATATTGTGCTATCAGGCTTGTTGTTGTTTTTTTACAGGAACATAAAAAACTTCCCCAAAAGAATTTTACCAATATACTTACTGAGGTTTTCCAACTTCTCCTGGGGGTGATTAAGGATTTAGCCTTTTACATTTTAGGCCCCATTTCCTCATGGATCTCTGACTCAGTGTGGCCATGATGAGTGTTTCCTTTATTCTTCCTTGAACATTTCAGGAAATTATGGCCCCAGGATCAATCTCTGGAGTTTTGGGTTCTTTCTGGTACATGAATCCTAAATTAAACAGAAGGAGGACCAAAATGTTTAAAATTAACTGACTCAGGGGAAGTTGTAGTTCCTTTCCTGATCCAGACAGGAACATCTGTGGAACATTTATCCGGTCTAAAGAGAACTAGAGCTCTAACCGATTTGGC